GGGAAGCAGGCCCAAGACCCAGAGCCGACATGCAAGCGAGCCGAGACCCTCTGCCCCAGCCCCATGCCCCCTTTTCCCTGGAGGTGAGCCCCTCCCCATCCCCCACGGAGTTCTGCTGGGCTGGGGCTGGGAGGCCTTAGGCTTTTTCATTGGCAAAGCGGCAGGGCCTGAGGCAGAGTCTGGGGGCCAGGGACCCACCCAAGCCCTGATGCGACTGAGGAAAGAGGCCGCTGTTCCTGCCACCATGGGGTCACTTCCCATTTCTGCCCTCTAGGTTGCATCTTCCTGCACACTGGCCTCCAAGGCAGGCTGCTTTACCATGTTCCTCTCAAGGCCCAAACAACCCGCCTCTGCCCCTGGCCTGGGCCGAGAGCACGGGGCCCCCCACCCTCTGCCTGAGAGCAGACCCCTGTGGGCCAGTGTGGCTGCCCTGGGGCAGCGGAAAGGGCTGGGGTGACTCTCCCCCACTCCAAGCCCACCAGCCTCTCCCAGCCCGGGCTCTGGGCCTCAGGGTCCCTGTCCCAAAGTTGGGCCCCAAGGGCTGCTGAACACAGGAAGCCACAGGCTTCCTCCTCTGGCAAAGGTGAATGAAACCCAGGCCCTGTTCTTCCAGGCTGGTAGGGGCAGGAGGAGGTCACCCCCAGCCTAAGTGCTGGCTGTCTCCCCTTGATGGGACAGAGCCCTGAGAGGAGGGCTCTCCACCTAGGGGGTGCTCAAGAGCTAGAAAAGCGGCCACCATGGGGTGCACCCCTGTGACCCCAGCACTCTGGAGGCTGAGGCAGGAGGATCAGTGGGAATACATAGCGACATCTCAAAAAATAAGGAAGTCAGGGAAAATAGTTCAGTGGCATAAGCGCCTGCCTGGCAAGTGCAAGGCCCCAAGTTCCATCCCTGGTACCACAAAAAGAAAGAAAAGAAAAACCTATTACACGGTGCGAGGAGGTGTCAGGCACAGGAGGCAGAGCAGATGGAGGAGGAAGGGGGCAGGGCTGGAGCTTGTGTGTGCAGCCAGGGACCAAGCAATGGGCAGAGTGTCAGTCAGCGTGAGCGCAGGGAGCGAGCCACGCCCGGCTGGCAGCTGTGCAGCAGTGGCAGCGCTGCGGGGCTGCGGGAGGTACAGTGCAGTCGTGTCCTGGCTCATCTTTATTAACTTATTTCTTTGTTTGATTTATTTGATTTTGTTGATTTTTTTTGAGACAGAGTCTCGCTTTGTAGGCCAGTTTGGCCTGGAACTTGAGGCAGTCCTCCTGCTTCAGCCTCCCAAGTGCTGGGCTGACAGGCATGCACCATGGTTAATTATCTTAGTAGTGCCGGGGGTTGAACCAGGCCTCAAATATGCTAGGCAGTCCCTCTACCACTGTATCGTACCTGGCCCTTCATTTTTCTTCTTGGTCGTTAGTATTTTCCATTTTGCTCTGTAGCCAAAAGGTGTTGCTAGGTAACAGAAATGCGTTTTGTCTTCATGAGTCATCAGGGTCTGGAAAGAGTGCTGATGCTGGGGTCCCCTGGGATGCTTGCCCTGTCACCCTGGGCCTGCCATGCCCCTGCCCAAGTCGTCTGCCACACAGGACTGCCCCCAGGACTAAGATAGATGTGTTCACAACAGTTGAAGGCATCAAACAAATAGCTGGGGTTTGGTTTTTGTTCTTGAAGCAAGGCCTCAATATATAGTTCAAGCTGGTTTGGACCTCACTATGTGGCCCAGGCTGCCTCAAACTCACAGGGATCCTCCTGCTTCAGCCTCCTGCATGCTGGGCGTACAGGTATGTGCCACCATGCTTGGTGAATTAAAATTATTAAAATAGCTATGTTTTCTTTCCTTTTCTTTCTTGGTGGAACCTGGGATTGAACTCAGGTCCTTGCGCTTGCCAGGGAAGCACTTATTCCAGTGAACTATGTCCCCACCTCCTAAAATAGCTGTGTTATAAAAGCTACAAGGGCTGGGGCTACAGCTGAGTGGCCCAGCACCTGCCTGGCAAGTGTAAGGGCTTTTTTTTTTTTTTTTTTCTGGAACTGGGGATTGAACTGACGCCCTTGCACTTGCCAGGGAAGTGCTTATTATACTGAGCCATCTCCCCAGCCCCAAAGTGTAAGGTCTTAAGTCCTGTCTCAGTGCAAATA